GCGAGATGGCACCGGGGGAGGGGGGAAATGGGGGGAAAAATGGGGAAAATGGGAAAAAATGGGGAAAAAAATGGGGAAAAATGGGGAAAAATGGAAAAAAAAAGGGAAAAAATGGGGAAAAAATGGGAAAAAATGGGAAAAATGGGGAAAATTGGGGAAAAAATGGGGAAAAAAAAGGGAAAAAATGGGAAAAAAATGGGAAAAAATGGGGAGAAAAATGGGGAAAAAATGGGGAAAAATGGGGAAAAAAATGGGGGGAAAATGGGGAAAAAATGGGAAAAAATGGGGGAAAATGGGGAAAAAAATGGGGAAAATGGGGAAAAAAATGGGGAAAAACGGGGAAAAAATGGGGAAAAAAGGGGAAAATGGGGAAAAAATGGGGAAAAAAATGGGGAAAAATGGGAAAAAATGGGAAAAAATGGGGAAAAGGAGAAAAAAGGAAAAAAGAAGAAAAATGGGAAAAAAAGGGAAAAAATGGGAAAAAAATGAGAAAAAAGGGAGAAAAAATGGGAAAAAAGGGAAAAAAATGGGAGAAAAAATGGGAGAAAAAGAAAAAAAAAAGGGAAAATAATGGGAGAAAAAATGGGAAAAAAAAGGAAAAAAATGGGGAAAAAGGGGGGGAAAAGGGAAAAAATGAGAAAAAGGAAAAAAAGGAGAAAAAGGGGAAAAAGGAGAAAAAGGGAAAAAAGGAGAAAAAGGGGAAAAAGGGAGAAAAAAGGGAAAAAAAATGGGGAAAAAAGGGGAAAAAATGGGGGAAAAAATGGGAGAAAAAATGGAAAAAAAGAGAAAAAAATGGGAAAAAAATGGGAGAAAAAATGGAAAAAAAGAGAAAAAATTGGGAAAAAAATGGGAGAAAAAATGGGAAAAAATGGGAAAAAATAGGAGAAAAAATGGGAAAAAAGGGGAAAAAATGGGAAAAAATAGGAGAAAAAAGGGAGAAAAAAAATAAAAAGGGAGAAAAAAAGATAAAAAGGGAGAAAAATGAGAAAAAAGAGGGAAAAAAAGGACAAAAGGGGACAAAAAAGAGACAGAAAAGGACAAAAAAAAGATAAACCCCCCAAAAAAATTCTTTAAAAATTCCCCAAAATTTTGGGAATTCTGACCTTTCCCCTCCTGTGGATTTGGGGGGGTCCTGGGGTGGGGGAGGGGCCCTCGGGCTCCTCTTCCTCATCGCTGTCTTCCTCAGGGGGGGAGGGGCTCAGCCCCGGATCCGGCTCCTTCCCGGCATTCCTGGAAAAAAAATTGGGAATTTTGAGGTAAAAGTTAAAAAAAATCCCCCCCCAAAAATAAAAAAGGGAATAAAAAAGGAAAAAAAAAAACCCAAATCCCCCCAAAAACAAGGAAAAAACATCGAAAATTCCGTAAGAAATCTGGAATTTTATCCCCCCAAAAAATTCCCCCCGAGTTCTTAAAAGCCCCAAAACTCAGAAAAACGGCCCAAAAATTCCAGAATTCCAAGACAAATTCCCAAAATTCCTGCAGAAACTTCCAAAAATTGTAAAATTCTCCACGAAACTCCCCGGAATCTCAGGAAATCTCCCCCCCCAAAAAATCCCCAAATCCCCTAAAAACGCCAAAACCCAGGAAAAAAAAATCCCAAATCACCCAATTCCTTCAAACCCACCCAAAACACCCCAAAAAAATCCTGAAATTCCCCAAATCCCAAGGAAAAAAACCTCTCAAAATTCCAAAATTCTCCTCAAACCCCCCAAAAATTCCTGAAGAAAACCCCAAACTCCAAAATCGTCAAAAAATTCCCTAAAAAACCCCAAAATTCCAAAAATCCTCCTCAAAAACCCCCCAAAATTCCCCAAAAATTCCCCAAAAAAACCCAAATCCCACAAAAACACCCTCAAAATTCCCAAAAAAAATCCCCAAATCCATGAAAACCCCCCAAAATTCCCGAATTTCCCGCAAAATTCCAAAAATCCTCCTCAAAAACCAAAATAAATTCCCAAAAAAACCCCAAATCCCATAAAAAACCCCAAAATTCCCTAAAAAAAAACAAAATCCACCAAAAACCCCCCAAAATTCCAGAAAAAAAACCAAATCCCACCAAAAACCCCAAAATTCCCTAAAAAAAACCCAAATCCCACAAAAAACCCCCAAAATTCCCTAAAAAAAAACCAAATCCCACCAAAACCCCCAAAATTCCAGAAAAAAACCCAAATCCCACAAAAACCCCCAAAATTCCCTAAAAAAAAACCCAAATCCCACAAAAAACCCCAAAATTCCCTAAAAAAAAACCCCAAATCCCACAAAAAGACCCCCAAAATTCCAGAAAAAAACCCAAATCCCACAAAAACCCCCAAAATTCCCTAAAAAAAAACCCAAATCCCACCAAAAACCCCAAAATTCCCCAAAAAAAAACCCCAAATCCCACAAAAAGACCCCCAAAATTCCCCAAAAATTCCCGAAAAAAACCCAAATCGCACCAAAAACCCCAAAAATTCCCTAAAAAAAACCCAAATCCCACAAAAAACCCCAAAATTCCCCAAAAAAAACCCCCAAATCCCACCAAAAACCCCAAAAATTCCCTAAAAAAACCCCAAATCCCACAAAAAACCCCCAAAATTCCCTAAAAAAACCCCAAATCCCACCAAAACCCCCAAAATTCCCTAAAAAAAACCCCAAATCCCACAAAAAAACCCCAAAATTCCCTAAAAAAAACCAAAATCCACCAAAAACCCCCCAAAATTCCAGAAAAAAAACCAAATCCCACCAAAAACCCCAAAATTCCCTAAAAAAAACCCAAATCCCACAAAAAACCCCCAAAATTCCCTAAAAAAAAACCAAATCCCACCAAAACCCCCAAAATTCCAGAAAAAAACCCAAATCCCACAAAAAAACCCCCAAATCCCACAAAAAACCCCCTAAATTCCCTAAAAAACCCCCAAATCCCACAAAAAACCCCCTAAATTCCCTAAAAAACCCCCAAATCCCACAAAAAACCCCCTAAATTCCCTAAAAAACCCCCAAATCCCACAAAAAACCCCCTAAATTCCCTAAAAAACCCCCAAATCCCACAAAAAACCCCCTAAATTCCCTAAAAAACCCCCAAATCCCACAAAAAACCCCCTAAATTCCCTAAAAAACCCCCAAATCCCACAAAAAACCCCCTAAATTCCCTAAAAAACCCCCAAATCCCACAAAAAACCCCCTAAATTCCCTAAAAAACCCCCAAATCCCACAAAAAACCCCCTAAATTCCCTAAAAAACCCCCAAATCCCACAAAAAACCCCCTAAATTCCCTAAAAAACCCCCAAATCCCACAAAAAACCCCCAAAATTCCCTAAAAAAACCCCAAATCCCACCAAAACCCCCAAAATTCCCTAAAAAAAACCCCAAATCCCACAAAAAAACCCCAAAATTCCCTAAAAAAAAAAAAAACCCCAAATCCATGAAAAACCCCCCAAAATTCCCAAATTTTCCCCCAAACCTCTGGATTTGCTCCTCGATTCTCCGGAGCAGCAGCGACTCCGTGGGCGGGGGAGGGGAAGGGGGGCTCCCGGGGCTGGGGGGAGCCGCCGGAATTCCCGGAATTCCCGAAATTCCCGGAATTCCCGGAATTCCCGGGGGGTTCCGGCCCAGCAGGGAACGGACGCGCCGGGATCTCATGTCCAGGATGGTGTCGCTGTACCCGACCTCCTCCAGGTACCTGATTTTTTTTGGGGGGGAAAAAAAATGAAAAAAAATTGGGATTTGGGAGGGTTGGGAATTCCAAAATGAAATCCCGGGAGAGGAAATCCCAAAAATCCCCAAAGGGGAAAAAAGACGGGAAGCTACAAAAATCCTGGGAAAAAGGAGGAAAAAAAACGGCGAAATTCAGTCAAAATTATGGCTAAAAACTCTGTAAAAAAGGTTCAAAAATGCCCAAATTTTGTTAAAATCATTTCCCAAAAAAACCTTCACGAAGATTGTCCAAAAAATATCCAAAATCCCAGAAAGATTCCCAAAAAATCCCACCAAAGTGGCCTCAAAAATGCCAAAATTCTGCTAAAATGCCTCCAAAAATGCCCCCAAAAATCTCCACAAAGATCGCCCCCAAAAATTCCCAAATTCCCCCCAAAATGCTGCAAAAATTCCATGGAAATCTCCAAAAAAAAATCACATTAAAATGGCCCCAAAATTTTGGTGAAATGCTCCACAAAGATTGTAAAAAATCCTGCAAGAATTCCATAAAAATCTCGATAAAAATTCAACCAAAATTGCCCAAAAATCACCCAAAATCTGCCCAAAAAAACCCCAAATCCCCAAAAATCCCAAAATTCGCCTTTGGAAACCTCCGGAAAAACATGAAAAAATATTTTAAAAGTCCAAAAATCGCCCAAAATCTGCCCAAAAATCACTCAAAAATTTCAAATCTTTCAGCCCAAACCCCCCAAAAATTCCAAATTCATCCAAAAATCCCAAATTTACCCCAAATTTCCCCAAAATTCCCAAAATTTCAGCACTCACTGGCGCAGGAGCTGCCTCCCCTCCTTCCAGGCTCCCTCGAGCTCCACGGGGCCGTTGGATACTGGGGGGAAAAAAAGAGTCAGAAATCCCAAAAATCACCCCAAAAACATCCAGAAATGACCCAAAATGACCCCAAAATCAACCCAAAAATAATCCCAAAAATAAACCCAAAACCAACCCCAAAATCAGCCCAGAAATGACCCAAGATCAACTCAAAAATAACCCAAAATCAACCCAAAAATTACCCCAAAATAACCCAAAATCAACTCCAAAATCAATCAAAGAATAATCCCAAAACCACCCCAAAATAACCCCAAAAGCAGCCCAGAAATGACCCAAAATGAATTCAAAAATAACTCAAAATTAACTCAAAAATAACCCAAAATCAACCCCAAAATAATCCCAAAAATAATTCAAAACCCACCCAAAAATAACCCCCAAAATCAGCCCAGAAATGACCCAAAATCAACCCAAAAATAACCCTAAAAACACCCCAAAATAACCCAAAATCAACCTAAAAATTATCCCAAAATAACCCCAAATCAACTCCAAAATCAATCAAAAAATAATCCCAAAACCACCCCAAAATCAGCCCAGAAATGAACCAAAATCAACCCAAAAATAACCCTAAAAACACCCCAAAATAACCCAAAATCAACCCAAAAATAACCCTAAAAACACCCCAAAATAACCCAAAATCAACCTAAAAATTATCCCAAAATAACCCCAAATCAACTCCAAAATCAATCAAAAAATAATCCCAAAACCACCCCAAAATCAGCCCAGAAATGAACCAAAATCAACCCAAAAATAACCCTAAAAACACCCCAAAATAACCCAAAATCAACCCAAAAATTACCCCAAAATAACCCAAAATTACCCCCAAAATTACCCAAAATTACCCCAAAATAACCCAAAATAACCCCAAAAATAACCCAAAATTACCCCCAAAAATAACCCAAAATTACCCCAAAAATAACCCAAAATTACCCCCAAAATAACCCAAAATTACCCCAAAAATAACCCAAAATTACCCCAAAAATAACCCAAAATTACCCCAAAATAACCCAAAATTACCCCCAAAATAACCCAAAATTACCCCAAAAATCATCCCAAAATTACCCCAAAAATCATCCCAAAAAAACTGGAAAAAAAACCCCCAAAATAACCCAAAAAATCCCAAATCTCCCCAAAAAATCCAAACAATCCCCTCCAAAAAAACCCCAAAATCCCCCCCAAAAATCCCAAATCCATAAAAAAACCCAAAGCCTTCCCAAAAAACCCCAAAACCTTCCCAAAAAAATCCCCAAATCCCAAAATTTTGGGGTCTCACCCGGCTCCTCCGGCCGCTTCTCCCCCGGCACCTCCGTCCCAAACTTCAGCTTGTGATACTTGGACCTGAAAATCCCCAAAATTTATGGAATTTGGGGATTTTTTTTGGGATTTGGGGTCTTGGGAGAAAATTTGGGATTTTTAGGGATTTTTTGGAGGTTTTTATTTTGGGTTTTTTGGTTGATTTTTGGGGTTTTTTTTGGGATTTTTTTGGGGGTTTCTTTGGGATTTTGTGGGGAATTTTTGGGATTTTTGGGGGAATTTTTTGGGAATTTTTTGGTTGATTTTTGGGGTTTTTTTGGGATTTTTTTGGGGGTTTCTTTGGGATTTTGTGGGGAATTTTTTTGATTTTTGGGGAAATTTTTTGGGGGATTTTTTTGGGTTTTTTGGTTGATTTTTTGGGGTTTTTTTGGGATTTTTTTGGGGGTTTCTTTGGGATTTTGTGGGGAATTTTTGGGATTTTTGGGGGAATTTTTTGGGAATTTTTTGGTTGATTTTTGGGGTTTTTTTGGGATTTTTTTGGGGGTTTCTTTGGGATTTTGTGGGGAATTTTTGGGATTTTTGGGGGAATTTTTTGGGAATTTTTTGGTTGATTTTTGGGGTTTTTTTGGGATTTTTTTGGGGGTTTCTTTGGGATTTTGTGGGGAATTTTTGGGATTTTTGGGGGAATTTTTTGGGAATTTTTTGGTTGATTTTTGGGGTTTTTTTGGGATTTTTTTGGGGGTTTCTTTGGGATTTTGTGGGGAATTTTTGGGATTTTTGGGGGAATTTTTTGGGAATTTTTTGGTTGATTTTTGGGGTTTTTTTGGGATTTTTTTGGGGGTTTCTTTGGGATTTTGTGGGGAATTTTTGGGATTTTTGGGGGAATTTTTTGGGAATTTTTTGGTTGATTTTTGGGGTTTTTTTGGGATTTTTTTGGGGGTTTCTTTGGGATTTTGTGGGGAATTTTTGGGATTTTTGGGGGAATTTTTTGGGAATTTTTTGGTTGATTTTTGGGGTTTTTTTGGGATTTTTTTGGGGGTTTCTTTGGGATTTTGTGGGGAATTTTTGGGATTTTTGGGGGAATTTTTTGGGAATTTTTTGGTTGATTTTTGGGGTTTTTTTGGGATTTTTTTGGGGGTTTCTTTGGGATTTTGTGGGGAATTTTTGGGATTTTTGGGGGAATTTTTTGGGAATTTTTTGGTTGATTTTTGGGGTTTTTTTGGGATTTTTTTGGGGGTTTCTTTGGGATTTTGTGGGGAATTTTTGGGATTTTTGGGGGAATTTTTTGGGAATTTTTTGGTTGATTTTTGGGGTTTTTTTGGGATTTTTTTGGGGGTTTCTTTGGGATTTTGTGGGGAATTTTTGGGATTTTTGGGGGAATTTTTTGGGAATTTTTTGGTTGATTTTTGGGGTTTTTTTGGGATTTTTTTGGGGGTTTCTTTGGGATTTTGTGGGGAATTTTTGGGATTTTTGGGGGAATTTTTTGGGAATTTTTTGGTTGATTTTTGGGGTTTTTTTGGGATTTTTTTGGGGGTTTCTTTGGGATTTTGTGGGGAATTTTTGGGATTTTTGGGGGAATTTTTTGGGAATTTTTTGGTTGATTTTTGGGGTTTTTTTGGGATTTTTTTGGGGGTTTCTTTGGGATTTTGTGGGGAATTTTTGGGATTTTGGGGGGAATTTTTTGGGAATTTTTTTTGTTGATTTTTGGGATTTTTTTGGGGGTTTCTTTGGGATTTTGTGGGGAATTTTTGGGATTTTGGGGGGAATTTTTTGGGAATTTTTTTTGTTGATTTTTGGGATTTTTTTGGGGGGTTTTTTGGGGGGATTTTGGGGCTTTTTAGAGGGAATTTTGGTGTGATTTTTTTTTACTGGTTTTGAGGTTTTTTTGGGTGGTATTTTCTGGATTTTGGGGCTTTTTTGGGGTGGATTTTTATGATGATTTCAGGTGATTTTGGGGTGAGATTTTGACAAATTCCAGGATGATTTTGAGGCAATTTTTAGGGATTTTTGGGGGAATTTTTGAGACCCTTTCGATTTCCTGGCGTATTTCTTAGCGATTTTTTGCCTTCCCTCAACCCTTTTTCAACCAAATTTTGGGTTTTTCCCCCCAAATTTTGAGACTTTTGGCTGATATTTTTTGGGAATTTTTTTGCTGATACTTTTTAGGATTTTTTGGGATTTTTTTTAGGATTTTTAGGATTTTTTTAGGATTTTTTTCCCTCCTCTACCTCTCCTGTTTGAGGGCGAATTCCAACATCCGGATCCTCCGCACCAGGTCCAGCTTCAGGTTCTCCTGCCCCTTGCGCTCGCCCTGCAGGAACGCCACCTGCGCCTTGGGGACATTTGGGGACGTTTGGGGACGTTTGGGGACCCTCAAGGACATTTGGGGACACTCAGGGACCTTCAGGGACATTTGGGGACCCTCAGGGACATTTGGGGACCCTCAGGGACATCCAGGGGGTGACGTCGGTGGCAGGGAGTGTAACCTTCCCAGTGTTCCCAGTCGCCTCCCAGTATCCCCAGTCCCCTCCCAGTCCCCCCAACATCCCTCCCAGTATCCCCAGTCCCCTCCCAGTATCCCTGACATCCCTCCCAGTATCCCAAATCCCCCCCAGTCCCCTCCCAGTGTCCCCAGTCCCCTCCCAGTATCCCCAGTCCTCTCCCAGTACCAATACCCCTCCCAGTACCCCCAATACCCCTCCCAGTATCCCAAATACCCATCCCAGTCCCCTCCCAGTATCCCCAGTGCCCCCCCAGTATCCCCAGTCCCCTCCCAATGCCCCCCAGTCCCTCCACCACCTTTCCCAGTCCCCTTCCAGTCCCTCCCAGTATCCCCAGTACCCCCCCAGTCCCCTCCCAGTACCCCAATACCCCTCCCAGTCCCCCCCAGTACCCCAAACACCCCTCCCAGTCCCCTCCCAATGCCCCCCAGTCCCTCCACCACCTTTCCCAGTCCCCTTCCAGTCCCTCCCAGTATCCCCAGTGCCCCCCCAGTCCCCTCCCAGTCCCCCCCAGTCCCCCCCCAGTCTCCTCCCAGTCCCCCCAGTCCCCTCCCAGTACCCCCAATACCCATCCCAGTATCCGAAATCCCCTCCCAGTATCCCCAGTCCCCTCCCAGTGTCCCCCCAGTACCCTCCCAATCCCCCCAGTACCCTCAACACCCCTCCCAGTATCCCCAATACCTATCCCAGTCCCCTCCCAGTATCCCCAACACCCTCCCAGTCCCCTCCCAGTATCCCCAATACCCATCCCAGTATCCCAAATACCCATCCCAGTCCCCCCAGTCCCCTCCCGGTCCCTCCCAGTCCCCTCCCAGTATCCCGAATACCCCTCCCAGTCCCCCCCAGTCCCTCCCCCACCTCTCCCAACCCCCCCCCAC